GGGGATTGAGGCGTTCTCGCCGGGTTGCAGCGCCAACGCACCCGATTGTCGCCGTGCCGGCAGGCAGTCGGACCAACCCACACTGGCGCGGCGGCAGTCCTGCGAGACCCGTATTCAAGATTGGCTCGACCAAAAGACACTCGAAACGGCAGTGAGCTCCTTGATGGCATCTTGGCCACAAACGCGCACGACTCTGTCGTCTGTCATGCGAAATCAGCGACGACAGGGCCGACGTAGCATCACAACGGCATCTGCCCAGCGGAAGGATTCGCATCCCGTCAACGGGAAGAGGCTGAGGAATGGGCGCTATTGCGACCCCTACATACGCGCAAGTCGAGTTGCACGCCGGTGCCCCGAAAATCGCGAGTTGCTCGTCAAAAACCCCTCATCGCATGTGAAGAACGAAGCTATCCCGCGCCGCCGTGTCATGATTCGCGTTAGCGGCGCATGCCTCTCAAACGAACAGGTAGCGGACACTTTCCCCCTCACGTTGCTCCAATCCACGGTGGTGGATTAGCATCCTCTGGGGAAGCGTCGCGAGGTGCTCATTCGTGCGCAAAGAATTTCTCGTACGTAACAGCTTGCGTTAGGCGTTGGCCTTTGCTTCCTCGGCTCTTATCTCCCCAAACTGTGGACACCTGGGATGGGACGAGGGTCGCTTGCGTTCGGACTGACCGAAGTAGGTGACAGGACCCGCTACGATGTGTCTGCAATCTTATGTCGACCGCGCGACCCCTGGGGTCCATAATGCTGATATCGGAGGTTGTTGGTGAGGCAGGCGCTTTCGACCACTGCATCCTATCATGAGGTGATCTACATCCGATTCCGAAGACATCGCGAGGATGACGGCTAAGGCGTAGAAGACGTTTTCAACGGGGGCTAATGAGTCGCCAGGCTGGACTGGTTTAAGGATATGTCGGCCGCGCCGTCGTGAATCTCTTCAATTGTCTTGGATATACAGAACAGAAGGCATGTCGTTAACATGCGCCGCCTCCAGAATCTCCAGCTGAGAGATAGGCGCCGCCGTAGGGCTGCCCAGAACTTCCATGCGTCGAGAAAGAACATTCCGACATCTTGGCCCTGCAGTCGAAGCTGAAATGCGAGGCGACCGTGGTCCTTGACCATGACGCCGCCCTGCTTTCCCCTATCACCCTGCCTTGCCGCCGCCGCTAGACTCTAGGCAGAGGAATGCACACCCAGTCTGCCGAGGGCTTGGGGCCGTCGATGATCACCCGCCGCGCAGCGCCTGGCATGGCCAAGGGCTGCTGCGCTGATAAGGCACGATCGGGGGTTCAGGAGGTTTTTTCTTTGGCGTCTTCGCCCTCAAACTCCAGGGCTGAACGCCCGCAAGACAGGCGGCAAGGCCGTCTCGGGAATCGGACAGGACGGCTTGGCCGCTGGCTCCTGGTCCCTGGGTTGGCTTCGACGCGATGATACAGCGGCTTCTTATCTCTGGATGGGCGGCCCGAGGAGTGCCTGCATTCCAAGCTTGGCTCCTATCGGCGGCGGCGTCGCTTTGCTGTGCTCAAAGACAGCTTAGTCACCCGCCGAAACTGGGAAAAGTTGACCTGTTGCTGCACATTGGTCAGTCGCCAGCTCTGAGATGGGAAGATTGTGTCGTCTTGCGAGTGACTGTGCCGCAACATACCTGCGCGCAAGCTGGTTACTGGCGAATGAGAGGCCTCTGTGGCAGCAACCGTCAAAGGGTCGTGTGAATCTGCGATCTAGTCGTCAGCCAATCTGCCAGCGTTCGATATCACGCCAGTGACATTCCACACGTGTGCAGAAAAGGCGTTTGGCTGCAAGCCACTTACCTGAGAGCTGAAGTACCTAGCCACACAACATGTCCCCAACGGGCAAGGCCTCGTCGCTCATACGATGAAGCTTACGAGTCCTCTCTGCATCCTGCGACGACTTTTGGCATGTTTTTGGCGACCTCTGAGAGCTGGCGTCCTCCGTGCGACCGATGCATATGAACTCACCGACGTCCGTTTCCCCAGACTCTGCGCTCTTGGCATCAGTTCAATTGACACATCGCTTCAAAGAAAAAGCCCATTTTACCCCGCGTAATCCACGTCTCATATACGTAGCACGTTCTTCCCCAGAGCCGGCCGGGAGCTCCATCAATTACAATTATTACTTGAGAGAATCCTCTCGTGGACATTTCATTACGTACGGCCGCCGCAACCCGTCTCCACCGGCCTCGTGCGTCGTGCGCCGTGCGTTCGGTGCTCCATTTCTCCAGTTTTTCTCCCCCGCGATCTGTGAAAGCCGAGCCTGGCCGCCGGCCGCACCCTACCACGCCAAAAACAGATCTTTTAATAACAGAAAAGAAAATTATGGATCCGGGGAAGGGGAATGGGATCGGCATGACGAAGGTGCAGCAGCTCGTTCCGGAATTCGAGCAGAGGCAGAGTGTGCCTGTCGAGGGGGACGACCAGGACCGGCTCGACCTTCCTCCCCCGTACGAGGCCACCGCGTCCACACCCGCATCCACCGCGGCGCCTGCCTTCACGCCGCCGGGGTCCAGCAGCCCCGCGGGCTCGGTCAGAGGGGAGGACGCGGCGTTTCTCCCGCAGCGGAGCGGGTACCAGAGGACGAGCCCGATGAGCGTCACGGGGAGCAAGGACGAGGAGAGGTGGGAGGCGATGAGGGGCGAGCCTGGGTGCTGCTTTAGCGATGGTGCGGGTTGCTGTTTCTCGGATCGAGGGGGCTGTTGTTTCTCGGATCGGAGCGGGTGTTGTTTTTCTGATCGCGGCGGGTGCTGTTTCTCGGATACCGAGGGGTGTTGCTTTTCGGATAGTAAGGGGTGTTGTTTTTCGAGCGGGGAGGCGGCGTGTTGTAGTTCTGGGCCGAGGCGTTGAGGAGTGCTTCGAGGGTTTGGGTATGGCGTTTGGACGCGTGTTGGATGGGCGTTTTTGGATGAGTAGGATTAGAAGAATAGGATGAGGCGTATGGGTTTCGTACATAAGAGATCGGATTCTTTCAGTAGCAGCTGCCCGCCACGAATTGACCCGAAAAGTTCCTAGCTACTGCTGCCAACTGACGGATGATGTTGATCGGTGACTAGTTGAGAATTGTTCTGGACCTCGCCTTTCACGACCAAGAAGGACATTGATGTTGATATCATGAGACACCGTAGAACCCACTTGCACTGTCAGGACGGTGTTTCCTCCTGGCGTTTATTCGCATGTCCGTATGTGCCATGTGCTCGGAGCAGGCAACAACGCAGAGATTGGGGCCCTCGTGCATGGTGTCGTCGTCGATGTGACTGGTACTGAGAACGACGCCGTTGTCCGTCGATCAAAGAACGACGTGATTGGAAGGCATTTGCTGCCTGAAACATGTGAATCTTTCCACTAAGTGTACTAGATATAGCGATGGGCTTGGTGTCTATGAAACTGCCTGCTTGGGTGGCCTTCAAGGCACGATGTGTGCCATGGGTTGCGGGTAGAGCGCTTGACCAAGGCTGGGAGTATTTAAGCAGTGAGGGAAGCATCGTCAAATAGATATGGGTTCGACGGGAGCAATCCTGAGTACTGGATTATGTACACCCGCTTCATCTTTGGATGTCCTGCCGCCGTTAGATTGATTACCCAGCGTCGAGTAATGATGCTCGAGACTCCCTTCAAGCAGTGGTGTTTGTTGGCGGATCTTTCCTCGGCGTATTTACACGTCTTATGGAGGAGTAATCGGTATCGAAGAAGCAATGGCAGCATAAGAGCGCCTCAAGATCGCATCTTAGGAGCTGAGTATGTTCACATATTCGTCCAGGGTGTTCGCAATTCCAAAAAGCGTGTCATCAGTCTCATCTGCTTTCAGAAAAGAGCTGACCAAAACCCTTTACAAAGTTCTGGTCACAACACCCATCAGTGGATTGTTTCTGCTGCCTATCATGCTGCACGTGCCAACAATAAAACTGCTAAGGAGGCCAAAAAGCTCTAAAAAGGCAGTTCCGTCCTCGATTCATTGTGCCTTGAAGCCTAAGAACATGGCCTTGGCCTGAATTCTATTCCAGAGTAGGAAGCTGCACGCCTCGAAAGTACGAGACATCGTTGGCTTCATTTCACTGGAACAAAGCTTGACTTTCGCTTTTGGCATGCCCTTGTGCTTGGCTGTATTTAGCCTTCGTCGTCCATCAGTCTCGAGCCCTTTCATGTCAGTTTTAGATGTGCCGCTGAAAATTCCTCCCCGTATCACCTGAACACTTTCACTGGGTATTTTCATTTCTGCTTAGACCTCGACCTAAGATTCGCTCAACGTACTCGAGCTAGTCTTGCGCACATGGCGACATCATTACTCGACTGATATTCCATGAAAGTCCAGCCTTTACATAGCCTCAGATACATATATGGAACTCAAGTCATGTAGAAGAATGTAGTCCTTGTGCGTCCACTGATTACAGATTATTTCACGAGAACGCCAGGTCATGTCGCTCTCACGGCGCAGACGTTGGCTATGATAAATCTCAAGCGCTAGATCATTTTCAAGAACCCCTTGTAAGGTACAAGAACTACACGTAGATTCTTTAGACAAGGCTGCGATACATAATATTTCGGTTCCCTTCTCAATGACCAGGGAGTGGCTGTTCCCACAGAGATAGCCCAGCTTGTAGATCCTGCCTAATGTCGGCTGCATGTTACACAAATATCACCCAATACACACGCACGGCCGCCCACCATATGCTTCGAAGCGAAGTAAGCTGCATATGGCAAGCTGGTCAAAATTAAGGCCGTCCAACCAGTGCAGCTGCCTCTAATTTGATCCTATTGGCCTCAAGTGAGGGGTCAATTCAGCTTCCAAGAGATCATCCCCAGTATATATGCGAGAAGTAGGTATGCTCATGGTGCGTCATATCTGTGCGGCGATGCCAAAACTTTCTGTCGCGCGGATAAAGAAGCTCTTGGAGACTGTGTACGACACCTCGAAGTGGTTGAAGAAAGCCCCTAAGTAAGGTACCACTCCAGCTTGTATAACTCTGCGACGTGCGAAAACATAGCATGGAATCCATCGATATTACCGTCGCTTTCATTCTCGCTGAGATCGAAACAATATCTTCGACGCATAGAAAGCTTGAACGCATCAAGGGACTTCCTGAAGCTTTCGTCGCAGTCGGAAATGTTCTCCCGCTGGCTGAAGAGACTTTGCGCCTCCTTCAACAGGCTCTCGAGAGTCAAACTTTCGACTGGCAAGATGAAGCTGCAATCATCGAATCCCTCAGTAATGGGCTTAATCAGTGCCTCGAGCTCGTCAATTCTATGGAAAGCATCCTGCGTCAGGTCATGGTTGTCGATACGCAAGGCTCAGACAGTTGGCCTGGCATCATTGGTTCTTATCGCCAGATAGTGAAGTCAACTGGCAATGGCCAAAACATCGAGGCTCTGATACTGAGCTTGTTGGTTGGATTGAGAATGTTACTTGTCAACTACAGCATCACAGAGGATGTCGCATTGTCCGGGCAGGACAAAAAGCTGGAGACTGCCTGCAAAATACTCACTGATGCGTTATCGTCTCTACCAGCCTCAGACTCTACCCCGCAACCGTCAAGCAAGTATCTGGCCAAGGACCAGTACGGAACGAGGCTTTTATGGGCCGCAAGGAGTGGAAAAGAAGAAATAGTCTGGAATCTCCTCAACATCAACGACATCAACTTGGACCAGAAGGATAAAAAAGGTCGTACACCGCTATCATTGGCGGCAGAGAAAGGACACAAGACCATTACTCTCTTGCTCCTGCAAACAGAAAGCGATATAGAATCCAAGGACAACACAGGCCGGACACCACTGTCATGGGCTGCAGGCGCAGGACAACACGCCGTCGTTCAAATTTTGTTGGACAACGGAAGCGACCCCGAATCTTTTGATAACATGCTCCAGACACCACTGTTGTGGGCTGCAAGAGAAGGACGCACCATGGTCGTCAGGGATTTGCTGGACTTTGGCAGCAACATCGAAACTTGGGACTATGCTGGCCGGACGCCACTGTCGTGGGCAGCAGGAGAAGGACACCACGCAATTGTGAGAGATTTGCTGGACTGTGGCAGCACTATCGAATCTTGGGACAATACTGGCCGGACACCATTGTCATGGGCCATAGGGCAAGGACAACTGAGAGTCGCCAGGCTTTTACTGGACCATCGTAGCGATATGGAATCCTGGGACAATGCTGGCTGGACACCATTATCACGGGCTGCAATGAAGGGGCACAAGAGCATCGTATCACACCTGATGCACGCTGGGGCCAATTTGGACTCAGTAGATAATAACGGTCGCACGCTTTTATCATGGGCGGCAGAGCAAGGTCAAGAAGCTGCCGTTCAACAGCTACTCGACGCTGGCGCTGATGCGAACTCCAAGGACAACGATGGCTACACACCATTGGCAAGAGCCGCAGAAAAGGGACACTTGGGAGTCGTACTGCGACTACTCATGGTGGAAGATCTCAAGGGGTCTGATGTTTCTGAAGAGGCTGGCTGGCTTCCCCAGTACAAAGACGGAAGTTTTGCGGTGGCAGATTCGCTGCCTGCCTTCAGTGAGCTGGACGTCAACTTGCACCAGGTCTGTTGCGCGCACAAGCTTCGGGAGAAAAACACAAGCGACCCTGTCATGCATCAAAACTCGGATTTACGAGCTCAGCATCTCAGCCGAGTCGATATGCAGAACCAGCTTTCCCTCCATTGTGGGCTAGCTGGTGTGCTCCCACCAGGAAGCCGGCCATTCAGTGCTCTCGGATGGGCCAGCTTTTCGATTCAAGAGGCATCGATATTCTTCACTGGCAATCCAGACGAGGATCTGGCGGAGCCAACAGGTCGAGACGAGTTGGTTCTGCAGCTTCATCAAGCGACCAGCGGACTGGTCTCTGGAGCAATTTGTCTACAACAAGCGGGATTCTGCTGCAACCAACTTACTGCATTAACGACATCTCGAACTGGATCAGGTCAGGCAGTGATCCGCATGAACACCATTTTGTTTGATGTTGTGCTGGAATTGGCTGAGAACATTACGGCATTGAGAGACAGAGGGTTCAGCGATTCTGTCATATCCCAATGTGCTTCAACGAGTACGGAAATTCTCAAATGCTTTTTCGACATCACTTTACCTGTACCATCGACAGTCGATCTCAAGTTGCACTATTGCTCCCTATCAGTGCAGCTTCTGTCCCTAAGTCTGGTGCTCTACTCGCGAGCTCATATAGGGGCCTTCCATCCCGTCTACTTGACAAAGCCTCTCAACAGAGTCGTGCTTCGTGGTAGCTCACCGGATTGTCTCCAAATAGCTGCAGAACAGCACAGACTTTCTTGCATGGGAGACATGGTTGGCGATAAGGTCTTCGCTTTCAGATTGATCTCCAAAGCTGCCCTAATTGAAGAGAATCAGTCTCCACTTCATCTTAGTGCCACGTGCGAAGAGATCGTGGACTCTTGGGGCCCAGGATCCTTGATTTTCACAGATTCACAGGAGCCCTCCAAGGATAGGATATTTGGCTTGGTGATTCGGGGGGGTATTATCCAGCAACATGGAAGGCTGAGCAATGGTGATCTCCTGTTTCATTGGGGAGAAGAATTCATCACCACCAATCCAGTCTCAGCTGTGGTCTTCAGCTACACGGACAAAATAGTTATTGGCGCTGTGCTAGACACTGAACGAGAGCCATCGGTATCTTTGGTCCTCAACAGGGATCAAGAGAAGCAGGCGAACGCGCCACAAGTTCAGCATCAGGAATCAGAAATACCGGTTCTTGGAACCCTCAAAAAAGCGCAACGTCAACCTCCTAAAATTTACAGATCAGTCCGCATTAATGAGTCTTGCAAGAGAGATACATGGGAAACGTGGCGAGCCTCTCAGGGACACCGAGCAATGCTGGGAACAGAGCCGGAAACTTGGAGGTTTGTTGAACGAAGCGTGATGCTGCAATTCGGTGACAAGCTCCTAGGTCAGATCGGAGGTAATCAAATGAAACAGCCTGGTGTGTCAGCAAAACGAGCTGTTTTGGACCGATGGACAAATGAAGGAAATCTCTTAATTCTCGAGGAGCTATACGGGCTTCAAGTCAGCCTGTGCACGGGGGTTGCCCGAAGGGTTTCTTTGAGAGCCCTTGTCTGCCACGACCTAATGGACTACGTTCAAAGCCTTATGGTTCCCGGATGGGAACAATTGGAGGAACAAGCGAAGAGAGCAATGTCTTCGAAAGAGGCATTCTGGGAATGGAACGCAAAGTTGAGCCCAGAGTCAGAGTCGAGGAAATGCATGGTCAAAGTAGTTGACATGCTTCTTAAACGCTTGAAAGATACGGGATTCGACAAGAACGGAGTTCGATTCGCATTGTTATGGCCAAATGGTTCAGAGACTCGTCACTGTGTCAAGATGGCACCTGAAGGCGATCAGAAGTGGTGCAGAATGCTCAAAGACAACGAGTGGTCGACCACATTTGCTGTTGCCACGAATCTATGCTTGGAAGCTTCGCTTTACAAGTGCAGAGATAACGAAGTTGCCTGGGGTGGTATGAAGACCTTTTCGACATTCATGTTTTACAGCGAATCTGGTGTTGACTCGATTAAATGTAAGAAAGATTGGCAAATATATCACGACAAATGGTATTGGAATGGCGAGGAGGGTGGTAAAGTCATGTTTCTAGCTCATAAAGAGCCTGCGAAAGTTACCGAACTTGATTACCGCAGGAATCCGTTGCCGAAACAAATTCGGTCTCTTATACCAACGCTCGAGGTATTAGTAGAGATCACAAGCATGGAGGATTCCGGCGAGGAGGTATTGATTACATGTAGATCTTAATGAGGACTAAGGTTGCTTAGATGGTCAACTGCGGTTTAAATCCAGTCTTGGCCTGATTCCACACACACGAGTTTCTGGTCTCGATACTGACGGGATGGAAAGAGGATGTCGACCTGAATTTGTGTCATTCGGGTTCTTCCAGGTAGTCTCAGCAGATATTGTGAACAGGGCGTTGGCGATGCGGAAGACTAAGGATAGCTCAGTCTGAATATCTTGCAGTAGATTAGACATACCAGGATGAGCCACAGTGGTCTTGTTTCTTCACAATAGATGATCGTGGATGGTATAGAATCTTCCTGGTGCATAACAGAAGCCGACTCTGAACTATTGAGCTCCCAAGTTAAAAAGAAATATCAGGTCAATTGGTTGCTCCCTCAATCAATGAAGACCGAGAACAATAGTCGCCTGCCTCTTTCCCTTCTTCTAAGAAGATGACCATGGTCTGGACAATTACACCTGATACTTTCGACATATTCGTTTCATCCTTGGATCATCAAAACTGACGTATTTCACTGAAGCGTCTGGAACCATGCTCGACCATGTTCTCAGGCCTTCAGTTCGCCAATCCGGTAAACCAACCTAACCTCAACAATGTGCAGCCCCAGTTCGTCACAGTCGTGCTCATCAAGAGAACTCGGGTCAAGCAGTTGTTGACTGATTTGGATTTCCATTTTTGTATTCAGCTATTCTATTCGGGCGGATTATTGAACAATCATTTCGTCTTACCACCTTGCACGTTCTTCATCGCTATTATTACCGCCGATGCTCTTATCATCATCGTCTCTATTATCTCCCTGTAATCTTTCTTCTCATCATCGGCATTATCTATGCGATTCCCATTCGACCGCATGTTGAAACTCTTTGTACAGTCGTCTGCAGTATCCAGAAGTACTCGATATCCAGGAACATGGTGTAGCTTGGAAACAGTATGTGGAACAGATTTCTTGACGCGGAACTCGAAAACGTCAAGTATTTACCTTGCTAACATGTCACCCTCAGTTAAGTGAGTTAAGCGGCTATTATTCCTTCAGTGTGTCTATCTGCAATAACGCCTTTCGATCATGGAAGGAAAGCCTCACGAAAGCCAAGCCTTTTCTTTACCTGCTTTTATGTGTAACGATAAGCAAGCAGCAAATAGCACTCAAGTGATTCGATTGCACTTTTTAGCGCTGATGTCAGACTGAATGCCTACATTTCGTTCATGGTTCAAAAAGGGCGCGATTTGTCCTCGGTACTGGAACCTGGCCCTCGTTTTCTCTTTCCTCTTTTCCCCCACAAGCCCTCATTACTAGAATACGAGGCTCGTCAGAAGATCAAATCAGATCAATAAAACCAACGCTCTGTTACAACCATGGAGTCCACATCCTTTACGGCTGGCGCTCCCTTGTTCAAGTTCTCATCCTTGCCAGAGAATGACAGCTTTCGGCTGCTGCGGCTACTGCCCGATCTCGAACAGGATCCCGTACGCTGCGAGCTTATCACTACTACCATATCGCGTGCGGCTGGCAGCTATGTTGCGGGCTCGTACACTTGGGGCACGCCATTGCCAACAATGTCCATACTCCTGAACAACATCTCTGTTGACGTTCGGAAAAACCTTTACGACTTTTTGAGGAAACTGCGCAAGAGAGACAAGGCAGTTGTCATTTGGATTGATGCATTTTGCATCAACCAAGATTGCCACCGTGAACGCACACATCAGGTTGGACTGATGGCTCAGGTCTACAGCGAGGCTGCGTCTGTTGCTATCTGGCTGGGCCCCGGCTCTGAATTGATGTACTATGCCATTGACATCATCGAGAAGCTAGGAACAGACAGCACCATTCATATAGACCCAAAGAGTGGACCCGCTGTCTTCGAGGACGACGGAACCGAGAATGAGAAAACCGCTGAAGTTGCGGCGTTCTTCAACGTGCCCTGGTGGTTTCGCGTTTGGACAGTGCAAGAGTATGTTCTCGCCAAACGCAGAACGTTTTACTGTGGCGATCGAAAGATCGAAGGCGAAGTCGTCGAAGAATTTTCCAAGAATGTGGCAGCTCATCGCGGGAATTGTTGCAGTCGAATAATGGTTGTCCACCGGACTCACGGTCTCAGGATGAACATGGGGGACAGTATTGTCACGGTTTCGATGCTTAAGGACTACTGCAACAAACATTCTGCGACATTCCTTTCGACTTTGGGTCGATTCGAGTTCAGACTTGCCACTGATCCAAAGGATCGCATATATGGATTCCTTGGCATTGCGAGACAAAATGGCGGCCCCTTCCTGGACGCGCTTTATGAGCAAAGCCCTCAAGAAGCATGTGCAGCCCTTGTCCAAAGGTGGGTGGAAGCTTACAGGAACCTCGACTTCCTAGAGCACACGGCAGACTACCCTTCGTTTATCACCCAGTCATTCGTTCCAAACTGGACTGAGAGGCGGCCGGAGGGTCACGATCGATGGGACTGCAACAAACGATGGGATGTTCAGCACCTCTACGACGCATGTGTGGGCCGAAAGCCGCAGTTTTGCATGGAATCCGACGGCAGTGCGTCTTTTGTCGGCATGGGAGTGGACACCATAAAGGCGGTAACTACGACACATTATCAAGAATATGCCGATCTAATTCTTGAAGCTCAAGCACTCATTGGTTTCAGCGAGTCTACCAGCGACATGTACAAACCTACCTCACAGTCACTGCATGACGCTTTTGCGCTGACAATGACGGGGGGCCTGCAATACCGGCTATCCGGCGGTTGCGAAAGACGTGAAACCGTCGATAAGTGTCTCCTTGAGTGGATGGACTGGATTCTCGAATGTCGCGTCACCTATATACACGTGCCAGTCGGAACAAAACAGTACATGGATGACATACTGAGCGCCCATCATTTCTTCCGAGCCGCATTGTATGGAAGGAGTTTCATTCTTACCGAGAAGGGATACTTTGGATTCGCTCCAAACTCATGCCAAGCTAGAGATGTGGTCGCAATACTGTTCGGAGCAAAATCCCCCTGTGTTTTACGCCCTGTCAATGACGTACAGACGGTGCCCGAGACGCATTTCAAGTTGCTAGGGACTTCATACGTACATGGAATCATGCATGGCGAGGTCTTGGAGGGTTTGGAAGATGGAGACGACCTCCCTACTACTACCTTTCATGTCGTCTGAGTATGCGACGGTCAAGGGCCACGTCATAGATTCGTAGCGTACTATTGCATATGTAAATCCTATCTTCTGTGAATTTCCCGTCACTCCGCTCACCACATTTGCTCGGAGTTGCGACATTAAACAACACATCCCCGGACTTGCGTTTGAATCAGGAGCCATGATGAAGTCTTTCCTCTCCGAGGACTTCATTAGAGACTTGAGGAGCTATAAAACCTGAAGACTGTGTATTTCACTACCATGATATGCTGCCGATTTACCGCAGTTTTGTGGCCATGAACAAACGAGGCCATGTCATTTCTAGCACCCCTTTACGTAGTTCTTGTTTGTACGAGGCTGCGAACTGAACGCTACTTCATTGCTGTTGAGTTAGTCATCGATGTCCAAGGTGAAGTCCACATAAAGTGCACACTAGAGGTAGTCCACCCCAATGGCACGAGCCTATTCGCCGTGCAATGACATGAAAGGATCCGGGATCATAAATCGAGGTAGCTAACACCGTTGCAACGCCATCAACATGACATCTCGACGCCAAAACGTTTTTGAGAGAGAGGCCGTTTCTGCGTCTGAAGTCACAGATATTTGCCAATCAATGTTCACATCAAACACCCTTCAATTCCCTCCAACCTCGGGCCGCAAACCTCTTCGTCCCCCCTCTCCTTCCCCCTCCCCCAAAACCTTCCACCACGGTGCCCAAAGCTTGCCCCCTACAAACTTCGTCTCAAATCCCCATCAATGACCTCACCTCAAACGCCCTCCATCACCAGGACCAACCCTTTTGCCTTCTCAACCCCGCGCCTCACGATAAGCTTTACCTTTCATGCCGTTGCGCCGTACACACAAGCTCCTCCCTCCCCAGCGGCGCCGCGGCGCGCGCGCGCGCGCGCGCGCTCGCATTTCCTTTCCCCCTCATCTCCGATCGAATAGAACCGCAAAGAACCAGAAGCTTCTCATGCAAACTATAAGACAAATCTCTCAGATAGCCTTCCCACCCCTCTCAAGCTATCCGCCAAGACCTACATTATGTCCACAGACAGCACCAAGCTCAACCCATAGCAAACCGTCAACAATCAAAACCCATACTCAACCTTCATCCAAAGAGAAAGAAAATGCTGCACAGCGCAACGACAACAACCCTCGTTCTCCTCCTCAGCACACTCGCCCTCGCGGCCCCGACCCCTCTCCCAAAAGACAACAAGATGCTCCTCCCGCCCACGGACCTGGGCCAGCACACGGGCAAAATCGGCGTCGACAACGTCGACCTGAACACCAAGCTGCGCGTCGACCCCGTCCGCATCGACCTGCACAACCGCCAAGACGCCGGTCAAGGCTCGCCCGTGACGGACCCCAACGCGATGCGTCCGTCGCCCTACTCCGACAAGCCGGCCGCCGCGCACGAGCCGGTGGAGAAGAGGGTGCAGCGGGAGAAGAACGCGCCTGAGGATGTGCCGCGGTGGAAGAAGAAGTACAATGCCGAGTACGATTGGATGAGTCCGGCCTGATGTTGTTGCGGGTGACTGGCGGACGACGTGGTGTGCGGCGGCGTACGGACTGTTTTCGCAAAAATGGAGATAATGTGAAATGCTGGATGGGATGGCGTGGATGCCCCGAACAACAAAAATTCGAATGGCGGCGCAAGCGTATACGAGACCATGAGAGAGGGTGAAGAGAGTTCAGAATGGACTTCGCACTCAAATGGGAAATGATTAGTTGAAATGAGATACCATAATTTACACTTTCTACTCACCATTACAATGGTTGCCTCAATGTTCCGTCGTGTCAAAGGTGTTCATAATCTTCATGAATTAAAAGTACACTCGCGCCCGTGGGCTATACAGACGAGGCCGAAAAGGAACTAGAGAAATCCATAACTTCATTCAGACACAAACATGTCTGCTCCCAACTGCAGGCCAGACTGAGGTATGGGTATGCATCCGACGCCAATGTTATGCAACCAAAAACTAGTACACCTCCGACCGTGACCATCATGACCCCCCTACCAAACCACCTTCATGTTCACATGATATCTGACAATACCTCCTTTTCCGATTTTAGGCCCAGCTTATGGGCGAGCAAATCCTTGCTTTGCCTAGATGTTGTCAGTGATGACTTCAGGAATGACTTTAAGGGGTACTAACCTTCATCTGTTCGATCCTCGCTTTGAGTTGGCTGGTCACCTCAGCCGCACGCTTCCAACTCTCCACACCATTGTTGTTGTTTGAACCGTGACCGCCACCCGCAGAGTAGTGAGGTGCCGGCGGTGGTGGTGCTTCATCAACAGGAGTGGCCCCGGAGCTGCGGTAGCCTCTAGCCGGGCTGCCGCGACCTGACGAGGCGCTGCCGGTATACCTGAGCTCGGGGCTGAGAGCCTTTGAGCGCGGGTAGTGGTGGTCTCCATTCTCCTTCTCCTCAGACATGTTGCTGGCGTAACTAGCGCGGTTGTGTCTAGAGGATGATGTGCCGTATGAGTTGTCGCGGTAAATGCCTGCATCGTCATGAGTGGGCGATGTGATGCCTATTCCTGTTAGCTTTGGAACTCCCTAAGAAGGTCACGACAGCATGCTTACCTGGGCTGACCATGCCTTGTCTTGAGTTGAGGCCTTCGGCGTGGTTGAGCGCCCTCTTAAGTCGGTCGAGCTCGCGTCTCAGGCGGTCGTTGGTCTGCTCCGTTGCCTCAGCATCGCTTCTCGCGCGGACGAGCTGAGTCTCCTTGGCCTTGATGCTGAGGACATCACGGGTGTGGTCCTCAATCAGGTTGGCGTTCTGGTTCTTGAGTTCCTGTATCTCGGACATGTGCTTGCTCCTCTCATGGCGCATCTCCTCAACTTGACGGGTCAGGCGCTCGTTGGCCGCTCGGAGCTCCTCCAACTCAGCACGCTCCATCGCCGTGAGGCCGCTTGATGGCGGGGGCGACGCAGGGGGCATTTGAACGGGGGCTGCGGCCGGCTTGGCGAGGGATCGGCCAGCGAGACCGCCGCGGCCGAGGCCGATGCGGGGTTGAGGTGGGGGAGGGGCGGGTTCGTCGTCTTCGGGCATGACGGGACGGCGAGGAGAAGCAGCAGGGGCAGCAGCAGCAGCCGGAGCGCCCAGAGGCCGCTTCGATTTGAGTCCCGCAAGACCAGACGGCTTCGCCATTCCGAGCTTGCTAGCGGGCTTCGGGCGAGATGTTGGCGGAGGAGAAAGCGGTTCGGGCTCGGCGGGTGGGGCAGCAGCAGGCATCACCGGTTTCTTGACGCCAGCGGGCTTCTTGCCTCCAACGAGTCTCTTGGGCGGGCCCGCGGCAGCCTTCGGTGCTGGTGGAGGCGCCTTGGGCTTCTCCTTGGCCTTGACTTCGGCGGTCTCGTAGAACTCCTTGACCTTGGTCTTTCTGATGTCGTCGAGGCCCTCCATGTGCGGGTTCATGGCTCGCTCACCAATAATCTTCATGACGGTACCCAGAATCTCGGCACCTCCTGAACGCAGACCTTCGCTCGATTCGGACAAAAGCTTCTTGCCGGACTCAACGATAGAGGCGATTTCGGGTTTGCTGGGAACGTCGCGCGTCGTTCTGAGGCAGCGAATCAAGAACTTCATGGTACCCTCCTTAACCTGAGGGTTCTTGTGGACGAGGTAGGTGCCGATGTCCTCGAGACAATCGGTCAGACTGGTGGCGAGGAAGACTTGATCCAGAGCAGCACCGAGGGCATCCGAAACCGTGGCCTTCTTTTCCTTCAACCTCTCCATGATGGGCTGCATAACGACTGTGCGGTATTTGCCGTATCCCGACCTCAGTCCTTTCGCCAGGACCTCGATACACTGAGCTGCCTGGGTGACGACGGCAACGTTTGCATCCTTCATAGACTTGGCGAGGCCGCGGTTGATCTCGTTGAAGTCGCCGTCCTTGATGCGGGGAACATTAATCGCCGCGTACAGGGCCTCCAAGGCTTCCTTCCTTTCCTTCCATTTCGACGAAGCTAGAGCCTCGGAAAAGTTGCCTGGAATCTTGCCAAAAACGTCCTGCGGTTCCGCCAGGTCAAACGCGTCCACCTCGGCCGGCTCTTCGACATCGTCGCCCCCGTACTCCTCTTCTCCCTCAGCACCAGGAGGCGGCGCGCGCGCCATGGCGGCTTGTTGTGAGCGCAAAAACCGCTCTTGCTTGGGGGCGGGCTCGGCCTTGATCTTCTCAAACTGTGCCTCGAGATCGGTCTGCTGGGTGGGCTTGAGATCGCCCCAGAACATGGGCTTCATGGCTTCGCGCAGCCATCGGTAGAACTCGACGGCGAGGTTCGTCGCGGCGGCACGGACGTTCTTGTCGGCATGACCGAAAGCCTTGGGGAGTAGCTTCAGAACGGGCTTGGGGTCGACAGTCTTGCAGCCATAGTTGTGGTAGATGGCGGTGAGGGCGGTGATTGCGGCGGCGACAACCTTGGGCTGCTTGTTGGAGAGGGCGGGAATGATTTCCTCGATGACGGGAGCGGCAACATCCAGCTCAACGAGCAGTAGCAGGGCCTCTAGTGAAGACTCTTTAGCGGCGGCACGTGTTGATGGCAGACCCTTTTCGCAAATGGGACCGACAGTCACACCGCGTGTCCTCGTGCTGTGTTCCTTGCCTCCGAACTTGAGGAAGGCGCAGTATGCGGCGAGACCTTCTTGTTGGGCGGCGACGTTGGAGTCTGCTACGGCGCCCTTCCACAAGCCGGTGTCTGAGAGGAACGGTCTGAAGGCATTGTCGTACTCGTCGGCGGTGGCAGCGAAAGCCTTGGCGGCATCTTCGTAGCCCTGCTTGCGCACTTTCCACACCTGTTTCGCGTCAGCATACGTCCTCCTCCTCAAGGAGCGCGCGGCGCCAGCAAGTCCCTACCTTGTGGGCAAATCTGTCCTGGAGGGGGAGGGAGCTAAAGTCCTCCTCTTCGGCCATCGGAACGGAAGGCTGCTGGCGTGTTTGTAACGGTAGTCGTTGGGGTGTCGGGGGCAGAGGCGGCGGAGGACTCGGGTCGGTCTGTCGGTTCTCCTTGTCGAAGAGGTCTGGCTTCCCGAGACTGGCTACTCTTCGAATTAGCTTGGAGAGGGAACGGGTGTGTTTGACTCGGCGATCCATATTGGGAGCGGCGGAGGGCTGGAGGGAGGCATGCAGGCTGCCGGCAGCTGCGACCGGATTGGGGAAGTGGTGATCCGGAGAGGGAGGGCATGACTTACAATAGAAGACCCTGGGCAGGTATGGGAGTCAAACCAAGCTGGACCAGATCAGGCCAAATCAGGTGGTGAGGTTGTCGCGGCAGCGCGAGCAAGAAGAGGTGCTGGGGTCGGCCAAGTCAATGGGGGGATACCTGGCGGTACAGCAGAGAGGGTACCGTACTGTGGAAGATGTCTCCTGTTCTGTGTAGAAGGAGGAGGTCGGCAGCAGCAGTGACTTGCCCGAGTGACAAGAGAGGAAGTCGTGTAGGGGTGTGGTGAGGTATGTAGGTAGTTGGAGGTGGAAGCACACAGGTTTGAAGGTATGTGCGATGAACAAAGGTATGTGCGGGTTGTTCGCGTGGAAACAAGAGGGGGTCAAAGTTCAAAGGGCTAACGCAAAAGCGACGACGCGCCAGAGGATTTGCAGCGGCAGAGGGAGTTCCCGTGTTGGAGGACGACGGGAGATGGTGGTTGAAGATTTCGGTAGTGTGAAAAAAGGCAACTAACTACCTTACCTCTAGCGGTGGTGGTGGTGGTTTGTTGTTGTAGCAGGTGGAAGCCAAGTGGAATGCAAAAATCGACGTCAGTCCGACTGTTCACTTTCTCACCTCAGGCTCTTGAGGAATGGGGCCGGGGGTGCTGTCTGTTTTCTTTTGTTTTTTTTACCCTGCAGCAGCAACAGCCAGCAAGGAGGGGAGCACAGGGAACTCTGGTTGTCAGGACAAGGACAGGAGCAGCTGCCGTCCTTTGCTGTGCAGCTAGCTGTGTGCCGTGTACTTGGATGGGGTTTTTGGGCTTGCTCACTGACTGGAACTCTTGCTCACTGACTGGACTGGCTGCTTGTGAGTGTGGTCCAGTGCATGGAGCAGCCAGCAGACTCAGCACTTGGGGGGCTGAGCTGAGGCTCTTGATTCGCTTGTGATGCTGGAGGTGGGGCCACACTAGATGATTGGGCATGATTGGGTATCTCTCAGAAGAGGTAAACAACATCACATGACTCATCCAGACTGAAGCCAATGGATAAGAGCTGATAACACTGACAGGACTCCACTTGGGCTCCACCTGTCTCTCACCTTGGCTCACCTCTAATGGCCTTCTCTCTCACCTCGGCCTTACCTTGCGCCTTTTTCGGCAGCCCTGTGAAGCCTACCCAGCCTCTGTTCCAAGTCCTTGCGTGGACCAGGCCAGGCTAGTGTACCGTATGTAGCCCTGAGATTGGATTGATTAATTTTTTCTTCTTTCTAGCAGACATGCACTTGTCCATTTAATGCATTAATGGCCGTTGTAAGCCACTCCCCGGGACCTGTCTACTTCCAAATACCCACTCTTGATGATCATAAATCATGGCATAATGAAATGACCTCAGATGCAGTGGCTGAGTGACAAATGTCCATCGCCATCCCAACTTGACATTTGATCCATCTCAACTTGCAGCTCTCAGAGACAAGCCAAGTCAATCATTCTGCCCGAGATGCTGTGACCCTCAGAATTTCTCTCCCGACCCAACCCAATGGCTGCGGCGCAGGTACCACCACATGTCGACGCAGGACCGCCGCCAATTGGCAACCAGCATTTGGGCGATTGCCATAGAAACAGCCAGCTGCGGGTGATGTCACTGGGGAAAGCCGCAAGACCAGCCACAGTCTTCGCTCCAGCAGGGCTGAGGCGGTGCACATCAAATTTATTCCCCGTGGAGGGGTCCGTTCACGTCTCCCGTCTTCTCCAGTCATTTCCAGCTGGAAATTGGGGTCGCTGCTCATCTGCCGCCTGCCGTCTGCCATCAGCCGGCCACTACGAACTGCCATTTCTTAGCAGCCAACAGCCAACAGCAGCAGCCTCCACCGACTTTCTTCAACTGAGGTCGGGACTTGGAGGCGGAAGCACATGAAACATTTGGCCGCCTACCTCCAGCGTCACAATCCCGCCGCCGCCCACCGAGCCTCAACCCTCGCTCCAAACCCAGGAGTCTTTATTCTTTATTTCTCCAAACCCTGCATTCTGCACTGCTGTCCATCGTCATCGCTCGAATGCAACTGTGTGTTGGCTGCAAAGTTGCCTGTCCTTTGACGCCCGTATAGCATATGAGAGACACCTACTACAGACATGCTTCCTACCGCATGGACGCCCAACCCCTAAACTTCCAGATTAAACACGTCCGCCTCCAGCAGCACTGACACCCAACAATACGAGCCGGAACCTCTCAACCAAACCCCCGAACCGTCACCGACTCGTGGTCAGGTCTCCTCCTCCTCCGACACCGCCTTTCGCTCTCTCGCAACTGCCACTTGGCCCGGTCGGCCCTGACTCTGCATTTCATTTTTCGCTGCCCGCAGTCCGTCCAGTCCAAAATTCCCCGGCCCACGAGGCTGCCATCCCCAAGACACCCTGGGACCCCTTGGCCCATCAATTCATAGCAGCCTTGCAGATTCTACCTTGTCTATCCACCGACAGCCTGTCGCTTGTCGACTTTGGTCTCAGTCGCGCATCGCCATCGCAGGTTGCCGCGACACCGCCCCCCCGCAGTCCCGAGCACTTTCCACGCGCCTAGATAATCACATCCTCGCCAGCGAGAGCCTGAGGTGCATTCTTGTCTGTCATTGTGCGCATTACTGCTGCTGTTGCTGCCGCTGCTGCTACTCGGCATACACCGCGTTTTCGAGTTCTGCTGCAACCAACGATAACCTTCGCCGCAATGAGCCAAATCCTTACCTCTCGGCAAGCCGAGGAGCTGTTCGTCAACCCGCCAAACGTCTTGCGGGGCACTACTGACCAGCATTACGCAGGCACAAGGCCATTATCGCCTACCTCTCCTCGAGCAACTTGCCCAACGCCGCCAATGCCCTGCGGGAGGAGCTGCAGATCGGCGAAGCCTTCGACGCGGCCACCTCCAAGAAATACGAAGGTCTCCTCGAGAAGAAGTGGACCAGCGTAGTGAGGCTACAGAAAAAGGTCCATCACCTGTGATTATCGCGATACGCTTGGTTGCACGAGACTGACCTCGGCCTAGATCATGGAGCTCGAGTCCCGAACTGCCTCGCTACAATCCGAGATCGACAACGCGACACCGACTTCACTCTCCCGACGAAACCAGGATCCCACCAGCTGGCTGCCCCGGTCCCCCGCCCGCCACACCCTCCAATCCCACCGAGACCCCATCACCTGCGTCGCCTTCCACCCCGTCTTTTCGTCTCTGGCCTCGGGGTCCGAGGACTATACCATCAAGATCTGGGACTGGGAGCTGGGCGAGCTCGAAAGAACAATCAAGGGCCACACCAAGGCCGTCCTGGACGTCGATTTTGGAGGGCCGCGAGGTGCTACCCTGCTGGCCTCTTGCTCGAGCGATTTGACAATCAAGCTTTGGGACCCTTCAGACGAGTACAAAAACATCCGAACGTTGCCCGGCCACGATCACAGCGTCAGTGCGGTGCGGTTTATACCATCGGGCGCTGCAGGCGCGGGGAGCTCAGGAAACCTACTCGTTTCAGCCAGTCGAGACAAGACTCTGCGCATTTGGGATGTTTCCACGGGGTACTGCGTCAAGACCCTGCGGGGGCATGCGGACTGGGTCCGAGACGTCTGTCCGTCGCCCGACGGCCGCTTCCTCCTCTCGGCCGGAAACGATCAGACGGGTCGCCTTTGGGACATCAGCGCTGCGAATCCCGAGGTGAAGCTCACGCTGGTCGGCCACGAACATGTGGTCGAGTGCTGCACACTTGCGCCAGCGACGGCATACCCGCACCTGGCCACGTTGGCAGGCCTCAAGAAGCCGCCACCAGCAACGAGTACGGTGGAGTTTATGGCGACAGGCAGTCGTGACAAGGTGATCCGTCTGTGGGATGCCCGGGGCAACTGCATAAAGACCCTGACGGGCCACGACAACTGGGTGCGCGCTCTGGTCTTCCATCCCGGAGGCAAGTACCTCCTCAGTGTATCCGACGATAAGACATTACGATGCTGGGATCTCGCCCAGGAGGGCAAGTGCGTCAAGGTGCTGGACGACGTGCATGGGCACTTTGTCTCGTGCCTGCGATGGGCACCGGGTATTGTTCGCGAGGCGGCAACCAACGGCGACGGGCAGAATGGCGCCAACGGGACCCCCAGCAAGGCGGTAGTAAAGCCGGCCGAGGTTTCGATCCGGTGCGTGATCGCCACAGGAAGCGTCGACTTGAACGTCCGCATTTTTGCCAACTAGAGCGTCACCATCGTGGATAAAGTACAGTACAGTGCAAGCAAGTACGGACAACAGACGCCGAATGAGGCGATGCCGCGCCGCGGTGGAAGAGCAGGAGGGTACGATGCCGAGGCGCCGAGAGAGAGAGAGAGAGAGAGAGAGAGAGGGGGGGGGGGGGGGGGGGGGGGGGNGGGGGGGGGGGGGGGAGGGGGGGGGGGGGGGGGGGGGGGGGGGGGGGGGGGGGGGGGGGGTGTCGGCAACAAACTTGAAGGCGTAACGATTCACACGAGGCAATGGGTCATACGGGAGGCAGGCGTCTAAAGGGGTCAAAAGTACGGCGTACCATCTGACGATTACGTGATGCCCTTCGCTGATTGATATAGATTTTAGGGGAGCTGTACATAATCGAATAGATACCCGCAACATGTCCTCGCTGGGCTTCAACAGACGCTTTCGGTTTCCGAGCGGTGGTGTGAGCATGGGACGACGCTTGGTGTCGTGATGGTCGAGCCGTGTGCACCAGCTGCAAGCAATTTGCGGCTGAGACGTCGGCGTCGATTTGTCTGGGGAACGCGGCGAACGGTCTCCGGGGTGTGGAGATGACCGGCCGTCGGAGAATTGTGGCTGCTGACGTTGTTCGGCACGGCTGATTTAGAGTGAGACAAGAATTATGGCAATTTGGTTTCTGCATCTAGAACTCGACCACCATATGAAGCTCACGAAAATGGAAGAAGGCGCATGCTTGAATAAAC